ATATTACATTTTCACCAACAGTTACAATTTCCCCAATACCTCCTTGGTTTTTCAGTCAACCTAAAGTTGATTTTCAAATTCATGAATATATTCAAAAAGGACAGATTGACATTGATATCAAAACCCATTCAACAGAATATATCAGAACAGTTTATTATGCATTTCTGCCAATAAACACTGATGGCTCAAGAAACCCAGAAATAGGTCGTACTGGATCTGCATTCTATGTTCCAGAATTTAAAATCGGAAAATATGGAAGGTTAACGGATGGGACATCAGTATACACAGCCGAAATGGTGGCAATTCAAATGGCACTTAGTTGGGTAGAAGAAGTGATGCCAAATAAGGTAGTGATTTGTTCAGATTCAATGGCATCACTTAACAGTCTTCAAACTGTTAGATATGATATCTTTATAGAAATAATGAATATATTGTATAGATTAAGAAATGCTGGAATAATAGTTAATTTTGTTTGGGTTCCAGCGCATGTTGATATACCAGGAAATGGAAAAGCTGATAAAATGGCTAAAGAGTAACTTAATCTGCTCACTTCACACTCCAGCACAGGAGGTGGCGGTATGCACCTTAAAAGCTGGTATGCGACCCACCAATAAATCCACAGAAGAAGAAGAAGAAGAAGAAGATGTGCAACGCTGCCATCTGCAGTTCAACGCAATGTCAATGTCAAGGGTGCGAGCAAGCGTCAAATCAGTGCCTTCTATGCACATATTCAGAATTGCATCGGCTCAAAACAGCATCCCTTATTTGGTTGTCTTTATCAGCTCCAAAGTCACAATCCTTGGCTGCTTGCCTTAAACATATGTGACAAACTGTTGCACGGTCTGTCCCATTTTCTGCTTGAGGTGATAAATGTCTGTCGTGCAAACTCCGTTTTTACCTGAGGCACAAAGTATGCGTTTAGTGCTGTCACTGCTTGCTCATAGTTCGTTGGCCCTCCCGTGTCAGCGAGTGTGGAGAAAATATCCCGCACATCTGTCCCAGCATGATCGTCAGTCAGGATCAAACCGGCAAAGAGTTCAAAAGCATTTAGCCATCTTGTCCACCGCGGACCTAATGTGGCTGGATCGCTGTAGCAGTCAAATTTGGGGATTGAAGCATCAATCTTTGACGCGCGGGGTCTATCTCGAAGCTACACTTTTTAATTAGCTGAAATAAACTCCTCAAAGTGACGCACGCCTGACTCACTTTCAGATTTAACTAAGGAGTCAGTCTTTGTTATCCCATCCTCGTCGCCATTGTTATAAACTCACTATTTATATTGGATCAAACCACACAGATGCCTGATTGAACTTTTTACTACTCCCTCTTACATGATGACGTCACACCAATACACAACAGGTGTAAAAACAAAACAAAAAATATTCTTAAAATATCTTCACTTTTGCATAGCTCTCTAATGCACGTTCATATTAGTGCATGCCTGTCTTTGGAGCTTGAAACCATAAGTCTCTCAGGTTTTATTAAAAATATCTTAATTTGTGTTCTGAAGATGAATGAAAGTCTTGGGTTTGGAACGATGTGAGAGCGAATAAATGATGACACCAGAAAATTCCTTTGACTGGCAAGGGTTCACTTGACGAGTACGCATACAGTTTCTTGTCTGACCTGGCTGAACTGCATTTGATCTTCTTTTCTTTTAGCATTTCCCATGTTCTTTCATCTACTATGTTACTTGTTGCTCCTGAGTCAACCAACATTGGTAGTTTGATGCCCCCTACTGAGAAAGTTATTCTGTCCATGTTGCTCTCATCTTTTACAACAAATGCAAAGTCTTGATTATTCTCTTCTGAGTCAACTCTTTTTATCTGTTTTGAACTGTCTTTTGTTTTACACATTTTTGCGAAATGATCTTTCCCATTGCATTTCCTGCCTGATTTTCCACGTGCGTGGCATTTATAATCTTTTGCAAAATGACCTGTCTGTCTGCATCTGTAACAAGTTTTATCCGAATCTGTTCTTCCTTTACTGTATTGCATACGTTTTTTCTGATCTCTCGCACCTTTTTTGGACACAAAACTCACCGTCTCTTTTATCTCCGATTCTGGAGAGATGTGCAACGCTGCCATCTGCAGTTCAACACGTTCACACTGCGCTGCAATTTCAAGGGTGCGAGCAAGCGTCAAATCAGTGCCTTCTATGCACATATTCAGAATTGCATCGGCTCAAAACAGCATCCCTTATTTGGTTGTCTTTATCAGCTCCAAAGTCACAATCCTTGGCTGCTTGCCTTAAACATATGTGACAAACTGTTGCACGGTCTGTCCCGTTCTCTGCTTGAGGTGATAAAATGTCTGTCTTGCAAACGCCGTATTTACCTGAGGCACAAAGTATGCGTTTAGTGCTGTCACTGCTTGCTCATAGTTCGTTGGCCCTCCCGTGTCAGCGAGTGTGGAGAAAATATCCCGCACATCTGTCCCAGCATGATCGTCAGTCAGGATCAAACCGGCAAAGAGTTCAAAAGCATTTAGCCATCTTGTCCACCGCGGACCTAATGTGGCTGGATCGCTGTAGCAGTCAAATTTGGGGATTGAAGCATCAATCTTTGACGCGCGGGGTCTATCTCGAAGCTACACTTTTTAATTAGCTGAAATAAACTCCTCAAAGTGACGCACGCCTGACTCACTTTCAGATTTAACTAAGGAGTCAGTCTTTGTTATCCCATCCTTGTCGCCATTGTTATAAACTCACTATTTATGTCGGACCAAACCACACAGACGCCTGATTGAACTTGCCATCCACTTTTACAACCACCTCTTACGTGATGACTTCTCAGCAATACACAACATCTTGGTGATTCAAAGATCCCCTGACTGTTCCCTTCTTCTTCTTCTTGTATGATTTGCGGCAGCTTAGACGCTTCAAAGGCGTATTGCTGCCCTCCCCAGTTCATCTGAAGAACTCCATCTCATAGATTAAATCCTCAAATAAAGACCAGTGTGGAGTAAAAAACTTATAACAACCTTTGTTGCTTCATATTCCTTATTTTCAAGAATTGATTTTAAAGATAAAGATGAGACTCCGGATTCCAACAGATCAGAAAACATGCGGTTTCTTGCAGCACGAAGAATTTCACACTCCATTACTACATGCTTCACGGTTTCTAATTCTCCACACAAACATCTGCCATCTGCTTGCCAGCCCATAATTCAGTGCACAATGCCCCAGTCTTAATCTAGTGATTACCACACTATCCCTCCTCTCTAATCTTGTGAATGATGTGTGCATTAGTGTAGGCTGAATTGAAAAACAATGTCTACCTTTAATTCCTTCTTCCCATTCTTTCTGCCATATTTCTGACTGTTCCCTGGAAAAGAGTAAAAGCTTCGAGAGTAGAAAACAGTGGCTAGAAATTCAAAATTGCCTGCAGTTTTCTGTGAGAGTTACGTTTAGGGGTGGGTTAGGGCTAGCGATAGAAAATATGATTAACACCTATGAGAGTCCTTGTAAACCACATGGCTATACAAGTGCTTTTATGTCTGTGTTGAATTTTATCTTTATCTTTCTATAATACATTAATTTACCCATATAGTCTGGCAATAAATGTCAGTATGAATATCAATATGAAGTAATAGGATCATGTACACGTATATGGCTAGTTGCATAGTATTTTGTTTTCTTGAAATAGGCTAATTCATATTGCCTGCATGATTTGTGTGTTGAAAATGTAACTGAATCAGATTTAGGCTTCGAAGACTCCGAAACGCAAAGCGAATCGCTCTGTGGACAGAAAGCGACTCTTCGATTGACTCTGTGAAGCCAATACACGCCCAGACTTCACTGGAGAATGTGCTGCGTGCTTGATGCCTCGAAGCTTCAGTGCCATTAAAAACACTACATCTGTGGGTATTTAGAGGTTTTGTTAACAATCGTTGCTGTCCATCGATTGGGTGAGGTGTAGAAACTAACAACGAGTAATAATATCCATTTCCAGATTTGGCTGGAATCTATAGCAATATGAAGAGCACTGTCAAATTCTTTCAGGTTGTACTACTAATGTGCGGTAAGTGCACGATTTCCGTTTATTATTTAACTTTTTCGGTTTCACTTTGACACTGGTGTTAGCAGACAGATTACACTTTCACATGTGACCAACAATTCCACAACAAATATAAAATATCATAATGAAATATTATCAAAATATTCAACTGACGGAGGTGACAGAACTGACGGAGTTGACACATCTGACGGAGGTGACGAAAACCTGAATTTGTAATAATTTTAACTATCAAATACATTGAATCAGTCAATTACTGTATTAAAACAAACACAACAAACATGTTATTGTTTATAAAGCTTTTATTCAAGAGTCACATTGAAGTATTTTGATATATCATTGGAACACAAAATCTTATGGCGGTGACATCTGACGGTGTTGACAAATTTGCCATTTCTTTCACAAAACCAATGGAGTTCATGTAGTAGCCATTTTATT